TTCACTAGTTTGAATAATTCGAGACGGTTTAAAAAAAATCTAATTAAATAAATTATTATGACTTAAGACAATTTTTCCGGTTCTAAGTACCTAGCCTAAAATTCTATAGAAAATTAAAGATTATTTACTGTATGTCTACTTCATAAATAAAAAACTAACATTACGTTTTATTTAAATATGAATGATATTGTTTCTACTAACACTAAACTGAATTTTCATAAGTTCTTTCTATACAAATACAATGAATTAAAAAACATCTTTATCGACAGAAATACTGTTTATATATCGTACTTTTTAAAAAATTTGAATTAAAAAAATAAATAACAGAGACGAAATATTTATTAAAAAATATATATTTTTAAATAGTTATTCAAATTAAATATTTCCGTTTATTTTGCAAAAGCCGTTTTTAATAGTATATATAAAAGGTTGATAGTGAATTCATTACGTGTTATTGTTACAGATAGGGTTGTTTAATTTTACAGGTGTTAGATGCAGACACAGATCGTCTTACGCGAATTTATAAAATATTACAGTAGGTGCCTCCACATATATGCGATACCTAAAGTTTAAAATGAATTTTTTAAAATGAAAATATTTCTTGAAGCTTTAATTTCAAGCTAATTAACTCAATTTAATATCTCAAATAAACAAAATACTTCGCTGTATTTTAAAACTAATTTAAATTGACTGAAAGAAGTTTTCGTTTTGAAATTGCTAAAATATCTGATTATTGCGCCATTTTTATCAATCGATGTAATCCTCTTTATTAAAATATCTTACAAAAATAAAATAGTTTTTTTTTCTGGTGCTTTGGGTCATATTTGCTGATTTAAAGTTTAATTAATTTGATCTGAAACAAATATTATTAGTTTAAGTTTAAAATATCGCAGAAATGCATTTTTAATCGTGGTAGATGTTTATTTAAGGTGTTCACAGCTTGACTGGCAGACGTAATTTTATCTAATTGTTTTTTCAACGGTGAGTATATCTGTAAAAATTACTTGAGGAATATAACGTGGCGCCTTTTTATATAATTCTTAGTTACTCAGAAATCTTAAAAATTTAAGAAAATAGTCTTCGTAATATAATGTTTTATTGAATTTTATTTGTTTCGATTTAAATTTACGATAGATATTGCTCTTATTTTCTGAGAATGTCATGTCTGGAGACAAAAATGGGTATGTTTATACACACAAAAAGTATTCAAAATTATTTTAAAAATATTACGGGTTAATGAATTTTCCATATATGATTAGTAACTATAATTTTTACTTAATATCAGCTAACTGCAAAAAATTAATACATAATTTTAAAAAATTTAAAAATTTAGAAATTATGTTAATTCAAATTTGTAAAAATGAAAACAATTCCTATAAATATTCATCGAAGTTTCTTTCTCCTTAAGACAATAGTATCCATAATGAATGTTTTAATTAAATAATATATTCGTTTTATTGCATTATTTTACGATTCAGAGCAGATTTCCGGTAACTGGGGGTCCTGTTTTACAAAAAAGAAAATTGATGATTGAAACTCTCCAAGGACTTCTGCTCATAACTAATATAAACATTAAGCGGTAAAAATTAATTTCTCGAAATTTCATAAAATTTTATAAGTCGGGGAGTAACAGATGTAAACAAATGTTCCTACCAAGATATTCAAAAAAGGAAACATTTCTACAATAAATTCATTCATTTGTGAATAAATCCTGAAAGTTTCATTAAAATCTGTCACTTATTTGATTTTTGCAAGAACTTCCAAATCAATGTGGTTTTCACCGCGAAACAGACGCTAAAATTTCCCAGTGTAATCTTTGTTTCCCGCGCTGAGGAACCGTCCTGGATAAGACGATAAACTACGTCCAGGACAAGACCTCTGATCAGGAGGTTTTGAGGAGCGCGGAACTACCTCTTAATTGCTGGTGTTCCTAGGTCCACTCTGACCAGGGTGGTAACACCTGTTAGGGCCCCAGCTTTGGGCAAATAGTTAACACCCAAACTTGTGTAAAAATAGGTTTTAATACCAGAAATACTTTGTAATAAAAAAATTATTACCAGCAATAATTTTTGAAGAATTATTATAGTTTAATAAAATACCAACAATACAAACAGCTATATATTCTTTGGAAAAATATGACTAGCTATAGATTTCTTCAAGGAAAAATATTCCCAGAAATAGATTTTAGAAGAAAAACATTACCAGCAATAAAAATTTTTGTAGGTATTAAATAACCCATTGAGGTGTTGATATGCCGTGAAACAAGCCAAAGCAAACCAAACCTGAAGTGAATAAGTTTAGTCATCACGCAAAAAAGAACACCAGAAATAAATTAAAGAACTAAATGATAGAGAATTGGAAATAATTAACCCGAGTGTCTTGACAGGGTCAGCGTACGGTCGAATTTAAGTATCGTATTGAGTTAAATAATCTATTGAGGTTGATACGCCGTAAAACAAAATAAACCATACCAAATTGATTTCTTACAAATAATACATATTCTATTCATACGAAACTATCCTAAAAATCTAGTCGGCATTAAATAATCTATTGAGGTTGATATGCCGTAAAACAAAATAAACCAAACCAAATTGATTTCTTACAAATAATACATATTCTATTCATATGAAGGTATCCTAAAAATTGAGTCGAGATATCAACCTCAATGAGTTATTTAATAATAACTCATTGAGGTTGATATGCCGTAAAACAAAACAAACCAAACCGCGCTGACGGAAGAAAAACAAGATTTTTAACCAAAATTTCGAACGTTCTGAAAAGGATCGAAAAAATATAATTTGATAATTAAAAAATCCTTTGATCTTTCATCTTCATAATTGTATAAAGATTTGGACTGTGAAAACATTATTTTTATTAAGTTTGTGCTATTTTTTCATCAGGATATGCTATTTTTTTTTTTTTAGCAAATCATTGGAGGTACCTAAAATAGAGTAACGTTTTCTCTTCCCTCTTGCGACATTTATTTTTTTAATGGCGTAAGAAACGTACATTAGTGAAAGACTAATTTCCACCAAATTACTCACAGTTTTTAGCAGAGTATTTCGGCTTCTGGTAACTACCAATATAACTATTCGAGCTGCACCTCATGACTCCTTAAAACTCTAAATTCTTGACATTAGAATATCGGATGTTTCCATCTCATCTAATAAAACGTGATGAGAATTTTTAAAGGGCGTGCTTTTTGTTTGTTTTCTTTCATCTCTTCCCTGTCCCTATTTCTGTGACGAATCAAGATATTTCTTTTAATAATTCGTTCTTTACTTATTAAAATCACCGGGATGAAAGTTAGGTGGGGAAGATTTGCTTTAATGAAAGAATTCATGTACATGGGATAAATCTCTATTTAAGATGCATCCCATGTTGATACTTGTTACAAGTCCAGCAGAGAGTGAAAAAAAAATGTTTCGTCTTGTTTATCTTTGTGAAAGCCTTGGGTTTTCAAATCTCGTGTTTATGTCGTATTTGCAAAAAGGCTTGCGTTTTAGTTGCCTTCATTGTTTTTGGAACTAAGGTAAAAACCAAATTTGGAATGATGATTTTTGACTATTAAGAAGTTTGGCTTGAATAATCTTTTATCCTCTAGTGCGTCTAAGATGAGAACAAAGATCTGACCGCTGCGTGTACTGGCCCTCTCGATCTTTCTGTGCGCTTACGGAACGAGGACAGTTACAGTATAACTACAGAACTACTAATTTAAATTAGAAACATATGAACGAGATATGTATCCTATTTACATTATTCGAACTATTGTCCTCATCTCTGTTGTCATTTTTATTACAACGTTTCGGCCGTTGTACGCTCCGGCCTTCTTCAGGTGGTTGGAATGTCGAACTCAAGTGTTTATTTCGCTCACCTGAGTAGACTGTTCTAGTTTCACGTGCCATGTTTTAATAGGGTATTGAACTCACACTCTTTGGGGTCCTGTCACTGGATCTAACTAACGCCTTTATCCACTGTGCCATGTGTCCTTGAGGCAATGGAGAACTTGGAGAATGGAATTAACAGGAGATAACTGACAACTGATATCTATTAAAACATGGAACTAGAACAGTCTACCCCGGTGAGCGAAATAAAGGGTTCAGTTCGACATTCCAGCCACCTGAAGAAGGCCGGAGCGTACAACGGCCGAAACGGTGTAATAAATATGGCGAAAAAGATGAGGACAATTGTCCGAAAAATGTAAATAGTCTACATAAAACCTCATCCCAGAAATATAGAGAAAAACTGAGATATGAATCGACAGGAAAAAAGAGATTGATAGAAAAGAGATTGATATGAGTTAATAAGAACGACATTAACAGCAGAATTTAAACGAAGATTCCAAACACTAGAAATGAAATGCTACAGAACCATCCTTGGCATCTCCTACGTCGACCGCATCATCACATATGATGCAGAGATAGAGAGAAATCATCAAACAAGAAACAGGCCCGTTGGAAGACCTCATAACCACCGTCAAAAAGAATGGAATGTTATAGCCTCCTGAAAGCGTCACTGCGTTGGGTTTTGGAAAATCACCCAGAAAACCTCAGAAGACTTCAACGCAGTCGACACATATGAAGGGAGCTGGTCTCAACTGTGCAGGGATCCTAGGACCAGACCCGGTTAGGTCATGAGAATTATAATGATGAGTTCGTACATGTGTCTATTTGTAAAATCTTTTAGCATCGTTTAATGACTGTAAGTTCACGTCCGTTGCATCAGTTGATGTTTCTGTTTCGTGGAAGGATAAGTTTTAATATTTTGAAAAAAAAAGCTAAAGATATTTGTTTACAACAATCTTTCGAACTAAAAACCCGCCAGTTTCCCTACTTTGTTTATTTGTAAAATCTTGACCCCCGCACCACTTTTGATGCTTGTCAGTGACTAGAACGCCTGTCACCAGGCAGTAATTATTGCACGATTTTTATAATTAACAGTCGGGGATTGACTCTTCATTAGCGTTTTCTGCAAGTGACGCTTCACAGTAAAGCAAGTAAATGTTTGCCTCAGCAAGTTCTTTTCATTACTTTTTTGTTTCTTTAGTTATTTTTAACTATTCTTTCCCAATTTTATCAGTATTTTTTCGCTTTTCCTTTTATTCTCTTTCTTTTCTTTACTTTCTTTGTCATTTTATTTTCTTTTTTTCCCTTTTTGTCATCTGTTTTTGTTTTTGCGTTTGTTTTTTCTGCTTTTCGTTTTTCATCTTTCCTTTTTCGTTTTTCGTCTTTCCTTTTTTCCTTTTTCGTCTTTCCTTTTTTCCTTTTCGTCTTTCCTTTTTCCTTTTTCGTTTTCCGTCTTTCCTTTTTCTTTTACGTTTTCCGTCTTTCCTTTTTCCTTTTTCGTTTTTCGTCTTTTGTCATTCCTTTTTCGTTTTTCGTCTTTCCTTTTTCGTTTTTCGTCTTTCCTTTTTCGTTTTTCGTCTTTCCTTTTTCGTCTTTCCTTTTTCCTTTTTCGTCTTCCTTTTTCGTTTTCTTTTTTCTGCTTTTCGTTTTTCCCTTTTTCTTTTTCTGCATTCTTTTCCTCTTTCCTTTTCTGTTTATAACAAGTGTCCTTTATCATTCTTTCTTTTCCCACGCTTTCTTTCTATGTATGTCCTTCCTGTCGTACTTTCCTATCTTAGCCTTCTATTATGCTTTCTTTCTTCTATCTCTCTGACACGACATTTTTATCTAGTCTATCATTATAAAAGTATTATATATATCTTATTAATGTGTTCATTTGAGTATGTTTGGGTTTTGTAAATGTCAATTTATGCTGAACGCCCGTCCCGCCAACCTGATTAGCTTCAGCTCTTGCCGCTGATTGTATTGGCATCACGAGGCGAAAAGGTCGGGTGAGTATGAACAGACCCACTGAGCAATTCCTGTGCCAGGAGAGAGCAACCCTGTTGATTTTTCCTCGTGAAAAAATAACATCCATATTAAATGATTATAGCGGTGATATTTCTGACAAAATCTTTATCGTTATTTTAATGTTTCAAGCCATCGATCAGTCTTTACCTGTGTTTAATTTGTGTTAAATTTAAGCTGTTCCAATCAAACAATCTGTTAATCAGCGCATTCAAATTCTGCCTATCGAGTTTAAACTCTTCTGTTTACCAAAGTTTAAAGCAATGAGAGTAAGTCTGTTGCGACAGATGAAGAATGGACCTGGTAATTTTTGAATTCGAAAGATTTATACCGTGTATTCGAGTCTGTATATATACGCCCATTCTAGATTTGTTTTTTATCCTTTCTCCCGAAGCATGGCTATAAACTAATGAGACGCAAGTGGGTTAAAGAGTGTTAGGGAAGAGGAAAGCAACATTAAAGAGAGAGAACAGTAAAGGAAGAAGAAGATAACGATTGACATTTAAATTTTTGAAGATGACTGGGAAGCAAGGTGCAACAGAAGAAAATATTAGCATAGAACTTACGGTTGCGTCTAGCTATTTCATCTGCGATTAATGTTGCATTTAAGTGCTTGAAGATGGCAGGGTAGATGGTATTGAAGTAAGAATCCATAAAAGTTCCAAAGATGAAAAGTGCGTGAAAATAAAATGTTAAAATAGAACTTACGGTTACATCTCCCTAATTCAACAGTAAAACTGTGAAACGTAGTTGCCAATGAGGAAAGCACATTGAAGCAATTGCCATGAAAATATCTATAGGTAAAAAAAACAGAGGGAAGCAACATCATGGCGGTGGAAAAGTGACTGAAGTAGAGTTTCCAAATTAGGACTGATTATATTACAGATATTTCTTTGGACTTAGTTGAGGATCTTGAGACATATAGCTGGAGCACCAGACCCGATATGCCAGCAGTATTCAATGCATGGTCGAATGGTAGATTTAATGATTTTTGCATCAACCACTTAGACACAAGCGGTTACTGGGTGGGTAAGAATTAGAAAACAGAAACATTACCGAGACACGAGAACAAAAAAAGAGTAAGCAGGCGGACATTAGCTTCTTAATTTAAATTTTTGAAAAGATTAAAGTTGGTCGGAAACCAGGGAGCCGAAAAAAGCGTTCCACAAGCGAGAAGTGCGAGAAAAGAGACTTCTAGCATAGAACTTACGGTTACATATAACCAACTCAACTTCTATGTTGGCGAGACCTCGTCGAAAGTCTAGTATTGCACTTATATTCATAAATTCTAGGTACCCTGACGAACAGCTCACCCGAACGATTATCATGAAAGTATCTATAGAAAAGAGGAGACAACTTTACGACGGTAGGAAAATGACTGACGCCGAAACACCAGCTCAGGACCAATAATATTGTCGATTCTTCTTTGGATTATATCAACACTATTTATATTATTCGGACTATTGTCCGAATCTTTGTTGCCATATTTATTACAACGTTTCGGCGAGTTGACTGTTCTAGTTCCACGTGCCATGTCTAATGGATGTCAGTTACCAGTTATCTCCAGTTAATTCCCCTTTCCAAGTTCTCCACTGCCTTAACCAGGTATTGAGCTCACAACACTTAGAGTCCTGTCACTGGATCTAACCAACGTCTTTACCTACAGAGCCACGTGTCCTTGAGCGTACATCGGCCTAAACGTTGTAATAAATATGGCAACAAAGATGAGGACAATAATCCTAATAATATAAATAGTGTACATAATACCTCATCTCAGAAATATAGACGGATTGTATCAAGCATCTCAATATATATGGCGGGAACACCAGACCATATGTGGCAGCAATATTCTAAGCATGGACGAATGGTAGATTTATAAATATGGAAGATAGATCCAGAAGAGAAAAATCACACACACACACACACACACACACACACACACATATATATATATATATATAATTTTACTATATAACTTGTTTGCACTGAATATTCCCTGAGAAGGAAGAGAAGATTAGATCTTCCTTTTGGCATTAAGGAATGTTTTTTCCTTTACACTTCTTATAGAACGTTTAGGTTCGTAATGGCGGGCAGGGGCGTTCAAGGAAAGGGTTCATTTCAACGGAAACTTTTCTCATTGGTAGCAATACTTTACGGTTAGAAAATAGACGGTGGGTTGAAATAACGCGCCCAGTGTTAAAAGGCACGGGAGGATGCGATTTTTGCGTACTGGAAAGGTCATGAGTAATTGGTCACGCCTATTTAATAGATATGTTTTCATATCGCTTTTATAGGATCTCAGTCGAGGGCGGGGGCCTCTTCCAAATATCTAACTGATGATATGACATGATTATTAATGAGGTCCATTCTGTCACCTCCTTTCTGGCTCCTCCAAGGATCTGAGGGTTAGCAGTAAGGGTAAGGGTGGAGTGAAGTACGTAGATGTTAGAGAGATAGAAAAAAAACTGCGTAAAAGGTCATATGCCCTTTGTTGGAATTAGCAGACAAAACCTTTGCATAAATTGTCTGCTTTATGAATGTTTGAGAATTTATTCCCGAAGATTGCGCCAAGTTTTGGTTGGTTAAAAAGTATTACCATCCAAAAATTAATCTCCGCCTCTTTTTTTATTTCAAGAAAAATAAAATATTAAATATCTTTTAAAATGTTTTAAAACCTTCGTTTTTTGTTTGTCAACTTTGTACATCAAAAAATAAAGTATTCTATTATATTTCTGAGATTATTTGGGCTGTTATCTTCATGCTCACTGCCATGTTCACAATGTTTCAACCGTTGTACGCTCCGGCCTTCTTCAGGTGATTGGAATTTCAAACAGAAAACTTATTTCGTCCACCTGGGTAGATTGTTCTATTTCCAAAAAGACACATGGCCCATGGATAAAGACGTCGGTTAGATCCAATGACTAGACCGAAAGAGTTGAGTTCAAGACCAGTTCACAGCAGTGGTGGACCAAAATTGGACAGTTGAATTAAAGGAAAATAACTGAGACATCCGGAAGAGGCACAACACGTGGACCAACAATCTACCCATGTGGTTCGAAATTTCAATCTCCTGAAGAATGCCGGAAGGTACAATGGCCGAAACGTTGTTAATATGGCAATAAAGATTAGAACTGTCTGAATAATGTACGTAATCAAATATCTCATCCCAGAGATATAGACATATATCAATTATTTGTTTCATCCTTTAACATTAAGCAAGGAAATAAAGTCACTAAGATGCGTTGGTCTCACGTTTGATGGAACCGATTTCAAGTCACTTAAGGTGACGTTAATTCAACGGTGGATTGAGTGGAAACTGATGATTTTACTTTTGCTTTTTAATTAGGTGTATGCGTTGTGTATATGTTTTTAGAGTTATTGGGATGTTTTTATTTTCCGAACACAGCACATAATAATAAAAAAAGAAAAAGCCAATACTCAATAATATTAACTAAGAACACGGCCACGATGTCCAGTGTTCGGAAAATAAAACATCCCTCTAACTTACATACACACACTCCATTCACCCAATTAAAAAGCAAAAATCCCTTGATAATAGCTAAATGTATAGCCGAAAGCGCTCAGAATTACAGAACATTTGGACAGTTTCTGCACACTCTGAACAAGAGTTTTCTTTTCTGCTCACAAACGCAAGAAAAAAATAAATAAAAAGCTTAATCACAATACTTTGTTTGTCGTCTTTAGTGAAACATGTATAAAGGAAGGATTGCTACCTAAATACACACTTATCAAACTATATCGGGAATACAGAAACTTTCATTTGATCTGATGTGCTGTTAACCATTCATCTACAAAGAAGAGTCTGGTTAACAAAGTCCGAATTACTGTTTATAACACAGACCTTTGAGGATTTTTCTCGATCGATCATTTCTTCTCACGAAACGCATTTTAACGTAAAAAATGAAAACATTTTGAAAATGGATTTAATACTGTTAAATTAAAAAAAAAAAGACAGGCATTTACTTAAATAAATTGTATCTATAAAAATAACGTATAAACAGAAAATATATTAAAAATAATTGTCGCACTTATTCCATTTTCATAAATTTGTATTTACTCAACCCTCCGTCGGTTGCGCGGGCCGATCCCTCACTTTAGTGCAATGAGAGGGCGCGGCCTCGGGCAGCTGTTCCCCAGTGCCGGCACCTCTCAGTATAATTTTCCTCAGTTACGACTCTGTCCTTTGAGGGAGTTGCCCTTGAGTGCACTCTGCCCAAGGACGCAACTGAGAGATGCTAAGTAATGTATTACAAAACCACTCGTCCATATGCATGTCAGTTGACAGTATTAAGCTAATATAAATTAGCCGATAACATTCAGGGTTCCTGATAATGTTTAGAGAGATTTGAAATTACTCGAAAGAAGATACGATGAACTTGAGACATTTTCTCCATAAATGTGGTCCGGATATGTGACAACCTCTACGCAAGCTGGAAAAGTTTAATAGATAATTAAACGCACAGATCTTGTCGGTCGATTTTAATTAAAAAAAAAAAATCTTCAATGAATTCTTGCTGCCAAAGTATCTGTTGTATGTATGTGTACGTGGATGTGTCACGCGCTCTTTCTTGTGCATATAAACGAATAACAATTCCAATAAAGAAGACCGTATACCGATAATGGTTTACTCCATAGGACAGGAATATTAAACTCATGATAATGAGACGTGAATATACAGGATGCATCAGATATTTGAGAAAACAGCGCGGTTCTAGGAAGATATAGGTGAAATATTATGGAATTTAAATAAAAGAATATTTGAGCATAATATTAATCTTGCATAAAACATTACACTCGATTTATTAGTAGTTCATCGGAATAAATCTGACCATAATATAACTTAAAACAAATGAACAAAAAATATGAAGAGGCTAATCCGAAAAATACATGGTAAAATGACAGTATTACACGCTATACAATATCATACTGGTCTGGTGCTTCTATTATGTATTTAGATAGTGTTAATAAAATATAAGAACAAATCTGTAATGTTAACGGACCTGACATTTCGGCTTCAGTCACTTTCTAACGGCCGTAACTTAGCGTCTGTCTATCTTTTCATGGTAATTGTTCTCATGACCTGTCCATTTTGGTACCTCGACTTTAGGAATTTAAGGGTAATACTAGATTGGCGGTTAGGTCTCATCATTTTACAGTTGAAATTGCCAAATATAACCATAAGTTCTATGTTTAAAATTTATTCTGTCGCACTTAAACGCTTGTCTACGGTTTCTTGCTTTCCAGTAAACGTTGAACTTCAAAGATTTAAATGTAATGTCAATCGTTATCTTCTTACACCCTGTTCTCTTGTTGCTCTCTCTCTCTCTCCTTAATAGTATAATTATTTTTCTCACATTCTTCCTCTCTCAGTAACCCGCTTACGTCTTAGTGGCTTTATTGCATTGCTTGGGCTGAAATCAATTTTAAAAAAATACCAGAAATTTAGGCCAAGACAGAAGAGGCCGAAGAGCTGAATGGGTGAAAGGTTTTCAAGATGAAGATATAGTTCCTAAAAATGAACCGAAAAACACATTTGTGTTATAAACAATATAAATGAACACTATTTACATTATTCTGACTATTGTCCTCATCTTGGTCGCCATATTTATTACAACGTTTCGGCCGTTGTACGCTCCAGCCTTCTTCAGGTGGTTGCAATGTCGCACTGAACCCTTTATTTCGCTCACTGGGGTAGACTGTTCTAGTTCCACGTGTCATGTTTAATTGATGTTAGTTATCAGTTATCTTCTGTTAATTCGCATGTGCAAGTTCTCCACATAACATCCATATAATATCACGACAACCTTCAAAAGCTGGGCGACACTTCACAGATATCTCTCCCGAGTAAGACCCCCCACCCATAGAGCAGAACATGACTAAAGACTGTGTGTACGCTATTCCGTGTAGCTGCGGAAAGAAATATAAAGGAGAGACAGGCCGCCCCCCTTAAGGTAAGGCTTCAAGAACGCCAAAAAGCTGTAGCACGAGGGGAAGTGAAAAAATCAGGCGTGGCTGACTATATATAGAGAGAAAAGGGAGATCACCGCCCTCTGTGGAATCAGGCTGAAATCATAGACAAAGAACACATTGGAAAATTCGTAAACTTAAGGAATCAGCACATATGCTAGGCCACAAAAATCTCCTGAACCGACCAAGCATAGAAATGAATACAATATGGGAACCAGGAGTGCCAGAGAAAAGCAATAATAACAACAAAAATTGCAAAATGAACTCTGGTAAAAACATGGAATGATAACAGCAAATAATTGCAATATTAGCACTGGTAAAGTTGAGAACAATAATCCGAATAATGTAAATAGTGTACATAATACCTCATCTCAGAAATATAGACAGATAGTGAAGAAAAATGAAGATAAGAATCCGAACAAACGTGCCAACTCGATTTACCAGGCCGTCTCTGCGCCGCGGATCACGACATTTTGTTTTAGCCATAAAAATACCGCTACACTACATGCCGTCGCCCCAGTTTTAGCACCCACGTAGGTTTGAATTCAATGTTTTCCTTTCCTTAGATTGGTTGTCAACCAAGTCTAGATAACCCAATCTTTCCTGCTTTTAATACAGAGTTAAGATTGGGTCGTACCAATCCTCAAACTTCAAATAACGCAATGAAATTCTTGTCAGGATAAATTTGTTATAGATGTTTGGTTGTACAGCGCTTAAAGGCCAATTAGAGATACTTCAGTTTGGACAGCGGACAGTGTCGACATACATAACGGACAAATGGAAAAAAAATTATAACCTCTTGTAACATTTTGTGCTGCGTTTTAAGTAATGATAAACTCTTGTAATATTCGCTTCTTTTCCTTTTCAGGGTAGGAGAGAAGGCATGTAACATATTTATATATTTTTTTCGAATATTTTATTTGTTTAAACTAAAATCTTCACAGAAAAGAGACAAGTCCGAAGAAGATCAATTTTTTTTCTTCTCTTCTTATTTTTTATATTTCTGTCAATGATTGCACCCTCGACAGGTAATGTTAAAGCCCCAAACGTATATCTGGCAAACTCAACAAACACAACAAAATGAAATATATATATATATATATATATATATATATATATATATATATATATATATATTTCACTATTTACATTTTTCTGACCGTTGTCATCATCACGACGTTCCGACCGTCGTATGCTCCAGCCATTTTCAGATGATTGGAATTTCGAACCAAACCATTTATTTCGTCCACCTTGGATAGATTGTTCTAGTTCCACGTATCATGCCTCTTCTGGCTATCTCAGTGTCAATTATCTCCCTTTTAACTCCCCTCTCCAATTTTTTGTTCATCTCTGCTGTAGCCAGGTATTGAACTCAAAACAATTTGAGTTAAGTCACTGGATTCAACCAACGCTTTTATCAACTTGACTGTGTGGCCCGAAGGTGGCTGGAGCGAACAACGGTCGAAATGTCGTTTATATGGCCACAAAGATGAGGGAAACAGTTTGAACAACGTAAATAATTGCAGTACCTCATCTCAGAAATATGGACTATGAATATGGCAACAAAGATGTGGACAACTGTTCGAACAACGTAAATAATTGCAGTACCACATCCCAGAAATATAGGTAGATATCGAAAATGCATAGTATCATGAAAATACTTTATTTCGGAACAATCGAGAAAAAAAGCATCTCGATTGCATTTCTTCCGTTTCTTTCTTTTTTTTTTAAATATTTTTTACATTATTTAATTTATTTCTTGTAATATTTTCCTTCAAGACTCTCTTTAGTTTCCTTCATCTTCTACGTCTTTCTCTCATTCCAATGTTAGTCAATGTGTTTTATTTCCCTTACCGAATCGTCTTCCACCACGCGGTCTTTCCTTCCCTCTCTTCCATTTTTTCCCCTATTTCGTGGCAATAAGATCGATTTTAACATGACCCCCATCTGCCCAGAGTAGCTTCATCGCTTTGACACGACATCCTGTTGGCGGATTTTCGACTCACCATTCCCTCTTGCTTTCTGCACAATTAATTCACGGAGGAATTCTTCAAGTATTTACCAAAAGTTGCCCTGGGTTGCACATCAAACTCTGATTGCAACCACTTCACGACCGGCGCGCGTACATAGGCAAGCAAGAATCTAATTACTGCCAGAGATGTACTTTGCTACAGTCTCACCTAGACCTCAAAACACCGACATTTTCGACGTCTTGTATGTTTTTTTCCCTTGGTTTTTATCGTTTACTTCGTGGCGCTAAGGAATTTGGTCATTTTGGAGCTGAGATTTCTTCGACCCGATTTTTAGCTTGCTGCGTGAATTTGTGCTGTTGTTGTTATTTTTTTAAAGGAATTTATTTATATTGTTTCTTTCTTTCTTTTCACCCTTTTCTTCCCTTCTTTTCATCGTTTTCTTCCTTTCTTTTTTCTTTTCGTTTCATCGTTTTCTTCATTTCTTTCTTTTCATCGTTTTCTTCATTTCTTTCTTTTCATCGTTTTCTTCCTTTCTTTCTTTTCATTTCTTTCTTTTCATCGTTTTTTTCATTTCTTTCTTTTCATCGTTTTCTTCATTTCTTTCTTTTTATCGTTTTCTTCCTTTCTTTCTTTTTATCGTTTTCTTCCTTTCTTTCTTTTCTTTTCTTCCTTTCTTTCTCTTCCTTTTTCTTTTCATCGTTTTCTTCCTTTTTCTTTTCTTTTCTTCCTTTCTATCTCCTTTTCTTTCTTTTCTTCCTTTCTATCTCCTTTTCTATCTCCTTTTCTTTCTTTTCTTCTTTTCTATCTCCTTTTCCTTCTTTTCTTCCTTTCTATCTCCTTTTCTTTCTTTTCTTCCTTTCTATCTCCTTTTCTTTCTTTTCATCGTTTTCTTTCTTTCTTTTCATCGTTTTCTTCCTTTCTTTCTTTTCATCGTTTTCTTCCTTTCTTTCTTTTTATCATTTTCTTCCTTTCTTTCTTTTTATCATTTTCTTCCTTTCTTTTTTTTTATCATTTTCTTCCTTTCTTTCTTTTTATCGTTTTCTTCCTTTCTTTCTTTCTTTTTCCTTTTATCTCTTTTCTTTCTTTCTTTTCATCGTTTTTCTTTTTTCTTTTTTTTCTTCCTTTCTTTCCTTTTCTTTCTTTTCTTCCTTTCTTTCTCTTCCTTTCTTTCTTTTCATCGTTTTCTTCCTTTTTCTTTTCTTTTCTTCCTTTCTATCTCCTTTTCTTTCTTTTCTTCTTTTCTATCTCCTTTTCTTTCTTTTCTTCCTTTCTATCTCCTTTTCTTTCTTTTCTTCCTTTCTATCTCCTTTTCTTTCTTTTCTTCCTTTCTATCTCCTTTTCTTTCTTTTCTTCCTTTCTATCTCCTTTTCTTTCTTTTCTTCCTTTCTATCTCCTTTTCTTTCTTTTCTTTTCTTTTTTCCTTTTCTTTCTTTCTTCTTTCTCCTTTTCTTTCTTTTCTTCCTTTCTATCTCCTTTTCTTTCTTTTCATCGTTTTCTTCCATTTTCTTTTTATCGTTTTCTTCGTTTCTTCCTTTTCTTCCTTTCTTCCTTTCTTCCTTTTCTTCCTTTCTTCCTTTCTTTCTTTCTTCCTTTTCTTCCTTTTCTTCGTTTTCTTCCTTTTTTTTCTTCCTTTCATTTTAA